AATAGTTAATTTAAAATAAAAATTTTACCATTTTTAATGACCTTAATTTTTTATAGCCTTAATAAAAATTTCGGTAATCACTACCATTGCCATTTGCTTGGCAAAAAAAAAGTCCCAAGTAAATAATTAATCGATGCTTGTGCTATCATTTTTAAAGCGACAACAATTTGCTAAATTGGGCCCTCAACTCTGCCTGCATGTGACTCCATTAAAATATCATCAGAAACTCCCAACAGATATATCCAATTAATTAACTTATTTATTTTAAATTCAATTTTAAAACATAAAAAATTTTTATTTTTTAATTCACCTTACTTCACATGCTATATAATTTAAATTTATAATTTTTTATTTTTACGTTAAAAAATTATTATTAAACTATTTATTTCATTTGCGTTTCAATTAATCTTGTTAGCTCCTACAAGAATGGCTTCCACTTCGGATTCATTCTCAAGTTTTGTGTTTAAGCTTATTATACACAAGGAGGGAAGAAGAAGGAATTAAAGAACGTGCAATGGAAAAAAGCATTATTTCTACCCAAGTGTGAAGATGCAAGCTTAAAACCGGGTAGAGTTTCCCTTTTGCAGAGAAAGAAAAAAGCGAGGAGACAAAGAAAGAGATCAAACAACAGCTTGTCTCCAAAGGCCGCAAAGTATAATCTTATCTTGTATTTTAAAACTCTCCTCAGTTTCTCCTCCGGCCGACTTGAAAGGCTTTAAAGCTCTTACATTAGTCAAAGATAGGTTCCGATGTCTAGAGATGGCCATGGTTTAGCCCTTGAACGAGTTTGTGATTAAAAGTAGACGTCTTCAGAATTTGCAAGAAATTATCTCGATCTCCGTTGATCTAAAGCAATAAATGTGGTGTGAAAAGAACATTTCAAAGAGACCAACCTTTGTGATTGTGCAAATATCTTATACTTAATTCCTTCATTTCATCTCAAAGTAACTCTCTAAGAGTTGGAATATATTTATAAGCAAGTTATTTTTATGTTTAGTTCATATTTTAAGTTTTGATATCAATATTTAAGAAAATTATTGACTTTAACCATAGATTAAAAGTAAAAATCCTTTTTAAGTATATATTAATTAGTAGATGTGATGAACGCACCATTTAATAGGAAAAAGCAAAATAATCAATTTTTTTTTGTGTCACACTC